CTGTTTTACAGCAGAGAAGGTCATGGCTTAGTTGCTGGAAGAACCCACTGTTCTGACTATCACCACAGAAATAGAAAGAGCTAAAGAGAAGAGAAATTCAAATCCCTACCCCTACTGCACAGCGCAGTTCAATCTTCCCGAGGCATACAAAGTAAATAGTAGTAATAAAATGTGATAGGAAAATCAATTGGAACAAATGAAGCACTGTCTGTGCTGTATTCCAGCTCCTCCGTCCCATTGTTACCGCTTTGATTAATAAACAGCAATCTGATAATGAGCAAATCACCTCAGCACCAGGAGATGGGGAAGCAAATGCTGCAGACAGGCTGCCATGACAAAGCTGAATGTTCCCAGTGGAAGGGAATGTTTGGAAGGTGCTGGGCTGGTTCAGGATGCTGGCTCAGACACACCACGGCCAGCACAGGGCAGGGGAGAGGAGAGGAGAGGAGAGGAGCTGCTGGAAGCCACAGGATTTGATGTTATATTTATAAATGTGCACTTAGGCATCAATTTTTCACTTTCATTTAATAGAAGTTTACCSCACCTCCTTACYCTAGGGTGCAAAAACGAARGCAACAGCCCAAAATTGGCTYTTAAAACAGTGTTTTAACAATACRGTAATGTTGGTATAAAGAACTCCAACTAGGTCAGAGTCGATACCCAGCTTAGTTTCTTTCTGGTGCATATTTAGATGGAACTGAAAGCTAATGSAATTGTGTCCCTTTCTGCCAGGAGTAAATCAGTTTAATTATRAGTTATTCTTTATTTCTTACTGTGTTCATTTCTTTCCTGCTCTTTCCAAATGTTCCCATGACCGTGGTTAGAGACTGCCTGGTGCAGCCCTTCCTGAGCAGTGTCCTGATGTGCCCTGGTCCCTTCCTAAGCTCTCTGTTTGGAGTTACTCTGACTGCTGCAGTTTGAGCAGGGGGTTGGACCTCAGCAAGTGTCAGGGCCTGTTTCTGTTTCCTTGCTGTTTTGCTAATGCCTCGGTAGATGTAATCACTGCAGGCTGTGCCAGAGATCCTTGTTAGTTCCCCACCTCTGTGAGCAGAAATTATCAGATTCACTGACATTTCAGACACAGAGACGAGGAGCAGTGTACATAATTGATGTGAGACCACTGGTTGCAGGGAATTTAAATCAGAAGAAGGGAGTTGTTGTCCAAAGGACTGGATATACCCAGCGCTTGTCATCAAGAAATGGTTCTAAGAGCCAACTGCTGACCACAAGGAGGCTTTTCTACCAATGTGGGGAAAAGAAATTAATGGGACAGAGGATAAAGGAGAAATCTTGGTTCTAAAGAGGAATTTTTCCRGATTGCCAAGGTGTTAAAATGGCTGTTTTGGCAGTGCCCTGGAAAGTCAGGATGGCTGCTGAATCTGAGGGAGGGACAGGTGRAGTGGTAGCTATTGCTGCTCAGATTGCTTTGCAGCAATTAATTCACATATCCTCTGAAAACAGCCAGGAAAACAAGCTACATCCCCATTCCATCGCAGCTCCACTATTTTGCACGATTTCCCCTGGTGAGAGCAGCCTGGTTCCAGTCCCAGTTCCTCATCCCTGGGATGGTGACCCTCCATTCTGCACTGGCTCCTGACAAAGCTGCAGTGAATCTCTCCCGTTTCCCTCCAGAGCCTCTCCCCCACTGGGGGCTGCAGGTCCTTCCCTGTCTTGTCTTTGCCCAGGCCTAATGGGGATCCTCTGAAAGAGCCAYCTCTCCATCTTTGTCTTTCTGCATCTGCACTTTGGAAGAAAATCAATATTGCTGTTTGTTGCTAAATTGTCAGACAGCTTTTGATGCTAATATCTGATGAAGCAGACACGCTGTTGTAGATAGTTACTCTMAAACAGGTTCTCTATCATCTACCATCTGCTTTTAAAAGGTCTTTTTTCCCCTTTTTTTTTCCAGTGACTAATGTTGCATTTAACCCCGGAGAGCCTCTGATCTGAACATCAGACAGTTTCTGCAGCARAGGAACAGAAAAGAGGAGGTGGGGGAGGGAGGGTGGATGAGCTTCCTGTTGTTCTAACTTGGCTTACTGGTAGGGTTCTCAAATCAAACTAAAAATCTCACCACTTAAGGCAAGCCCCACTGAACCCCGTGATGCAGCTGCCAGATGGCATCATCCCCTCATTCAGAGCCTTGGGAGCAGAGCAGGGCAGCCCAGGGGGAACCAGACTGTGCCACTGACCCACTGGACAAGTGCCCTCAGCTCTTCATCACCTCTCCAGCCCTGCAAAGCAACAGCACCTTCTAAAAAGTGCATTAATTCTACAGGTGGAATCTGCAGGGATGCCAGGCTTTCTGTTTGCTTCTGTAGCCTCAAAGAGATCCAAATCTACAAGGAATTGATGAAAAGTCTGTGAGAATTCTTAGATTCTTCAGTGTTTGGGTTCAGGAACATCCCTGAGGGTCAGACAGAGTTTTATACAGAGATGTCAAATGTGATTTCTGAGAGCATGGCAGAATTCTGCAGTTCCTGAAAGATAGTGAGGAAATCTCACGCTGCAGTCTTTCAGCACTGAAATTGAGTTTTCTTCCCARGAAAGGGTTGGACAGAATGGTCACCCCAGTTGCTGCAGGTGCTGTGTGGGCAGGAGTGGCACAGCAGGGTCACTGTGATTCCTGCTRTGCCAGGAGGGTGTCCCAGGCAATGACTGCAGTGCCACCCAAGCTGCTCACTGTGCCTGAACCAAAATTCACACTGGATTTGGTCTCCAAAACCAAAAGGCACATTGCCTTGATCCATGGGAGAGCCTCCTTCTTCTTCTATAGAGGAGGTTGGAAAAGCACAAGGTTTTCCTGGAATTACAGTTTTAGTTTGCACCCATTTCTTGTGGTGCCGTAATCCCCTGCACAGAGCAGAGCTCTGGAGAGGAACCTCAGGGCTGCACATCCCCAATGAGCCCCTGGATTACAGAGCACCTCTGGAAACTGAGCCAGCAGGAAAAGGGGGAGACAAAGCAACCTGCAAGCAGTGAATCACAATCTCCTGTTTGAACCGTGTCTCTTTGTGAGGTGCTGTTGAATCCTCAGAGCTGAACGAGAGCGAGGGAGATGGAAACTGCACCAAAGGGGAACACATTTTCACGGTCTAAGCTGATTAAAGCTGAATGACTTGGAACACACAATACAAATAACTGCAAAATCCGAGGATGCTTCTCTCCCACAAGCCCTACACTCCTGTGTCTGGCTTTCCCAGTCTCCAGGGAACACTGAACAAGTGCTGAAGGAGTCACAGGCAGCTCTGGGGCTCAGAGTGCCCCACCACAGCCTCGTACTGAGCTCTCGAACCCTGGGCCATGAAAATAGCTTGGCACARACAGTACAGAAACCTCTAACAGGTTTACAGGCATTTTTCCAGCTTTGGCATCTATCTCCACTCCAAGTTTGTCGGCACAAGTCTGCTTTGTGTGTGTTCCTACCCCGCTGCAAATTGTGCTGCCAGAGCTGTCTGTGCTGCAGCCGGACCGATTGACAGCTTTGCCTCCAGCCAGAATCCTGATTCAAAGGAATATCCAATTCTGTGTAATAAAGTTTGCATGAAATTTTTACCTGCAACAATTCCCCAGTGTGCTGAACTGCATGATACTGACTTACACAATACATCATTTCAGCAGCAGAGTTAAACAAAACGCAAAGCCAGACTCRGTTTGATTTTTCTCTCGTGATCACAGACATTATACCACATGTGAGAGCCGTAAGCCATTACTTCCATTATGTATCAAATACAACAAGTGTTTCAATCRAATCAAATGTTTGAATGTAGACTTTTAAAAATATTTCAACTATAAAAATTAAAAAAAAATGTTTTCAGATAAAAGATTGAAAGTATGGGAAATACTGAAAATAACTGCTTCAGTATTATTGGAATACTTTAAATTTTTTAAAAATGAAATGTTAGAAKGGAAGAATTTCCATAGGCATTTTATTTAGATGAAAACATATTTTCTAACAGAACAATATTCCATTGAAAAAATTTCCAATTGCATTTTCTAGTGGGCAATTTTTCAATGACATTTTCAGAAGAACAATCTGCATGTGAAAAATTTTCCAACAAGCTCTTGTGAGCTCTTAAAGGCAAGAAGAAGTAGTTTTCAAATAATCCATTTTGAAAGGCAGTTATTATTCTATGTTTTACGCCTTTTACAGCAGAAGCAGCAGACCAAACACAGGGCAATTTCCAGGCTTTCTCTTACCTCCTTTCTAACTTAAAATACAAACTGCCRAGAAATGTTCCCAGACTTCAATTAAAAACCATGGGTGATTTTAAAATGGGTTGTGCTGTAAATATTGCTTACCTTGGTGGGGATACCACCTGGGATCCACAAACAGCAGCTGGGCCTGAGCTCTGGTGTCCAAGCACAGCCTCCAGTTCCAACTCAGGTCTGCAGCCCGAATTTTCCTCTATTAGACTGATTTAGAGATTGTATCTGAATTTTGGTGGTACCTGCAAATCCAGTTATTGAGCCCAAATTTCATTATCAAGCGCTGTTTAAAATACAGAAACAACCAAAGAACAGTTCAACATCAAATTTGTCCCATCTTGACCCTTTGATGAGATCAGGAGGAGAATCTCCTTAAGATTCCATTGTGACACTATTTACAGGGAACATTTTCAATTTCCATTTTGTTTTCTTAATTATTCCCAGTTTTTCAACCACACAACCCCCACTGAAGCTGGCTGTGCCTGATGCCCAGGTTTGTGTAAATGGGATGAGCATGAGAGGAAGGATGCGGCCTAAGGTGATACCTCATAAGGGAGATTCAGAATGGAAAATACCACAATGATCTACAGCCCCAATTCCAAGCCTGAACTTCAAATCTGACAGTTCAAGACTTGGAATCCACCCTGATTCCAGCACTCTGACATTCAGGGAAAATCATGGCCTCTTTTCAAGGTCTGAATGTGTTTCAGAGGGTGCAGGGGTTGATTTCCTCCAGTTGAGAGGGACAGCTCCTGGCTCCAGAGCAGAAGCACCTCCCTGCCCATGCAAACCACAGCAGCCCCTTTCACTCTGKGGCTGCTCTGCAGATCTGCTCTTGGGGTTCACACCCAGAAATCAAGAGGGAACAGAGCTTTAAGTTCTTCTCCATTCAGTCACAGAGGGATGAGGCTTGTGCAGGCTGCAGCACCCAGCTGTGCCATGAGCTGCACTGGACACGGTCTGGTTCCTTGGATCACTTGAGCAGACAGGCACAATGCCCTACAGTGTCTGCAGAGCTGGGAATTTACAGATGCACTCGGATGTGAGAAGAAAAGTCTGTTGCATGGATCCATTCCTCTRTTGTTTCACTGAAATAATTAGATCTCTTGTTCTCTGCCTCAATCTCAACTTCCACTTTTCCCATAAGGTGGTTTAGCTGTCCTAAATTACAGATCAAAAAGCTAAATGCTAAAGGCCAGGCTAATTCTCTCGTTTCTCGCTGTAGTCTGTGAAAACCCCAGACAGCTGAGAGGGCAGATAGCCATCTCCAGCAAGTCAGACAAACAGCTCTTAGGGGCTGTATCTCTGCTCACTGCAAAAGGAGCCTCCTCCAGAGTTTGGCACATGCCTTTCCTGTGCCCAGAGTGAAGGGGGACAGAGCACATCTGCAGCTTTGTCCGTGCAAAGAGACACAAAGCTGTGGGGAGAGGAGATGGCTGCAGAAAGAAGGCCGGCATGGGGAGGTGCTCCATCCCCTCCGCCCCAGCAGCCATCTGTTGCAGCCGTTCCAGCAGATGGTGGCGATCCCTGTGGCACAGCCGGTGGCACACGGACATCCTCCGCGCTCCGGCCGGTGAGCACTCAGCTGCTGGCTCCTGGAGGCATCTGCGCTGACCTGGCTGAACTTTTTGCTGAAGCAGCTGAGAAATGTTCCTGCAGTCCCTCCCGTTGCTCATCCATGCACTCCAAAGCTTTCACAAGAGGGGCAGCACAAACCACAGGCAGCTGTTCCACAAGGTTGCATTATCAGGACATTAGGAATGAATGCAAAACGCTCCTGGAAGGCTCAGTTCTTCCAACTGATGCTTTCTTATTTCTGCTTGAGCTAYAGAGGATCTCTGAAGAATCATCCAATTTGTTCTATATATACCCCAGCTGGCTGTTATTCTCTGCCCTGGAGGGAGTTGCAAATTGTGTGTGCAGCCCGTTCTTTTTGTAAAGAGGTTGCACATGAAGTATCCCCCTACTTGCACAGTCCTAGCAGATGGCACTGGACAGGTGAAGAGCTGCTCTGAGAAGTGCTAGCTACGAACATTCCTTCAAACATTAATAACKTGAGAAACACAGCACCAGCAATTAGATGTAAAGTGACATAAATTACTTCTTRAAGATTCCATTAGTTAAAAAATGATGTGCATAAAAGGGAAGAACATAAAAGAAAAAAAGAGCATAAAAGAAAAGTGCAGTCCCACAAGCCAACACGAACTGACCCAGTCTACCTGAGAGACACCAACTGCAGAAGTTTGTTGCAAAGACAAGGGAACAGCTAAACTAGTGAAGGCAGCCAGGCCAGATGTTTTGTTTAGATTCTGATTTTTGTTTTATTACCTGCTCCTGTACATCAGCCCRCAGCACCAAGATGGGGGACATGGGATGAACACAGAAGCAAAAGTTAAATTTGTTACCAAATGCATCTTAAAAGGGATGATATGGCAAGGAATGAAGGATGTGAGGACAATGGGATGTACCACTCTTCATCTRTAGGTCAATTTTTATTGCATTTCAGATCAGCAATTGCAGGAGTCATTATTACGGGGTCAGTTTTATTGGATCMATTTGGCAATCTCAATACAGCGTCTAATGTCGAGAGGAAAGATTTCAGACGACCGAAGAGATTTAGGAGTCCAAGTCACACTCGTGAGCAGTGGAACTTAAACTCTGCACGGATTTAAGTGCCTTTGAAAGAGGGACATGGTCTCCTGAGCCCTACACACAATTCTGGGAGCATTATCCCACTTGGCCATGGCACAGCGTGGTGCTCGCTGCTCTCCTCACTGTCAGCCACAGCACACAGGTCAAGGACTGAGGGGTTCACAGCAATTACTGGCTTAAGGAATTCTCCTCCTCTTCTTCTCAGAACAATCCCTCCTGTTGAGAGCAGGCATGTTGGCAGGCAATGATGCTGTAGGGAAATATTTCAGTGAAGAAACACAGAAACCTGTTGTCTGGAGGAGGCAGCGTGGTGTTTTCCACGAGTAAAAAAAATGTTAAAAGCTGAGAGATGCACAAATGAATATGATGCAGAGGCAGGGATAAACTAAATAAAACATTGGCAGATCTGGAAAGATCTGATGTGCCACTGGGACAGTGAAGTCTGTTTTCCTGTAAGTGCCAGGACTACGAAAGGAAATCTGTAAAACTGTTATTAAAACTGGGGTTTCAAAAGGAAGGAAAGTTTTCCTTTTAGTTAATGCCAGGAAGGATAGCTATTTTCTTCTCTTTTGATTGAAATAGCTGTGGAGAAACAGAGCCACAGAGCTGCTCTGGCCATCAGCAGTTGTGCTGCTGCTGCTACCAAGCAGCCTTCAGCTTCCTTAGCTGGGTATGTTCAGATCTCACCTCAGCAGGGTGTGGGGCACATCTCAGTTCCACACCCTGTAACCAACCCCYATGCTTTATCCCTTTCACATTCCACTTATTTGGTCTCATCAGAAGTTTTCAATGAGACAAAAGAGATCCATATTTTGAACACAATAAATTACCCCAAGCTCCCTCTCAGGATCTTTGCCCTCATGTGTTAAACAGGTGCTGATCCTCATGAAACACAGCAGATCAGGAATTGTGGTGGTGGCTGTGGTCTGACCCCCAGCCTGGATCCCAGCATTGAGACACCAGCTCTCCATCMCAGCTCCAGTCCCTTCCAGACAGGCATCCTGCCAGCAGGAGGGTGAAATAGGAGTGAATCTGGGCACTGAATCAGAGAATTCCACGAGCCCCTGCTCCACCTGGCTGTGTCCTCTGCTCTTCTCAGAGCTCCATCTCACTGAWTGCTTTTTACAGCTGATCTTCATCTATCCAGACGGTTTTCCGCTGCTCTTCCCCGATCCTGTCCTTTATTGTGCGGATGAGATCCTCRATGCTGCTCCACACCTCTGCCTCCACAGAGGCATAAAGGCAAGGCAGAGCTTCCAGTTCCTTCTCCTTCAGGCGGCACGTCCGTAAAAACTCATCCTCAATCTCCGGCTTTGGCAGAAGTTTCCTGCATCAAATGAGCAGACCGAAAAGAAATGTCTTGCATTTTAAGTTAATCCTGTAGTCCCAGCTGACCCATCAAGGATTTATTTTCTACTAACTACTTACAAGCAATAAAAGCAGTGAAGGATGCATCTACTCCAGGTCTACCCTCCCCTTACCTCCGTGCTGCCCCCRAGGAGAAATATTTGCTATGGGGAAACAATTTCAGAGGATTGAATRGAGGGAGAGTGCAAGTGTTTATGAGCTCTCCTCTTCCAGCTTGCATTACCTTAAGAAATGCTGTGGGAGTGCTGAGCACGGAGAAAAGCACATATTCTTTGGTCTCACCCTCCCACAATGCTCATTGCCACCAGTGACAGTGAAAAAGTGCCAGATTTGGGAAATTCCTGCTTTCTCCGGTTGTAAGATTTCAGGGAGGAGTTAYGGGAGGAAATAGAGCACATAGAAGTACCAGATGGAGAGGGATGAGGTTCTTTATTTCTCTCAGTGAGAACATTATTGGGCTCAAGAATTATTCACTGAGTAAGACAGAATATCAAAAATGTAAAAGGTTTGATATGTTACCTGAACCTCTTGATGTTTTTCTCTGAGACTCTTATAAAGAGAACAATAGGATATATCTTGGCTTTGATTAAATCCTTTGTGCAGCTTATTCCAGCTTCCAGGAGACAATGCTTGTTCTAAAAACAAAGTCATAACAGTGTCACAAAGGAAAATTCACTGCTGTGGAGTCTSAAGATAAAGGTATCCATCCCTTATGGGGTCATTTGCAAAGCTCTCTATTTGCCAYTGTATGGATTTAAAACCTTTTAATMMAATATACATTTAAAGTCCAGCTCCTCTTACTGGTTTAAAAGTAGTCACTCAAATAACAGCTGAGCTTAACAGCTTTCTAAAAAGGTTTAAAATGGAAATGGATTGCTCTAAAGATGAAAAGYATGGTAAAACACCAGTTTTACATATAGACACAAACACACAGACTTGCTTTTTGTTCAGAMAGAACATCTACTGCAACTACTTGTGAGAGAAAAAAACATCACTTTAATTCTCCTTTTTTTCCATGCTGTGCATTAAATCTACTCTACTTGACATCAGATCTCTGTCTTGGGCATTGTTATCTTTGTTCTGTACGCCCCTGTGTCTGGGTTTCAGGCTTCCCTTTCCTTTGTCTAGGTCCTTGTATCTCTTACTCTCTGGTGTATTCATATATACTTATGATATGAAAAGGAAATGAATAAAGGATGGAGCACAGAAAACGAAAGGATATTTAGCTGCATCTATGTGGGTCATCACAGGGAATGAGGGAGAAAGTAAAAAGATATGGCTGAGGATGGGAAAGAAGAGGAAGAGCAAGAGCATAAATAAAAACCTTTTGGGGGAATAAATACAAATGCAAGATTGAAGGAGGGCGAGAGRGAACGTGCAACTAGAAATTGCTCAGTGTCTTATCTGAGACATTGCAGAGAGGGTCACAGAGAGCCCAGAGAGGGGACATGGAGGGCTCTGAGCACCTTGGCAGCCACAGCCTCGATGTTGGCAGGTACAATACATTCGTATGTGTTCGAATTCTTTTCCCTGCTGAAGATGACAGTCTCCGTCCTTTGCTTCCTTAAGAACTCTTCCTTTGTTACRATATCTAGAAAGAGATGTGGATGGGGACACAATCAATTTTACAACAGCAGAACACGTAGAAAACCATCCAGCAGAACTTCACATGGGATGTAAGGATGGTTCAGGGAAGRAAGATGAGCAATGAATTGTCTTAACAGCTGCCTCATTTCTTCCATTGAATTCAATTAAAGCCTAATCTGATCACAGCTGAGCATCTCAGCTATATCCTGCACCAATGAGTCCTTGGGCAATTACCACAACACTATGAAGGCATTAAATTAAAACAGTAAATACAATTCCAGTACTAATGTTATATAGTAACAGTTCAGGGATGGAGGATGCTGAGAAGTGCTAAAAAAAGAAGGTCKCTTCAGCACAGGATCCTAAAACAAGGATTTAGTGTTCCAACATTTGTGTTTAAAGTTTCAAAAAAAAATTTGGCTTAGGTTGCAATGTGTGGTACCAGCCCCCTTGTGAATTGCAGCTCTACATCAAAGCTTTTGTTTTATGTTGCAAGACAGGAGATATTTATTATWATACTTAACTTCTCAGTTTCTCTGTCTGGAGGACTGTAAGGCTGCATACTATGCTGTGGGTATTCAATATTAGTGTAAAAATGAAACGTCAGCTCTGTTTAATGCTGGGTTGTATACAATCCTGCCCTGCAGCCATCACGGCACTGCGTACTGCTTTAATAGTAAATACTTAGCATGGAAGAAAATCAGTCTTTCCAGTAGATCAAATGCACAATCTTCACAGCTTGGATGAGACAGAAACCTAAAGTCGCTCTAGGGAAGATATTCCTCATAATAGCAAATACTAGAAACAAATTAATCAAAATTTCACATTGCCTAGATATGCAGTATGCAAACAGTATGCAAACAGAAAGAGCACTCACAGCATTTCAGTCTCTGAGGGGCAGCCTAGCAACCACACAGCATACACATGGATAATATTTATAGACACAGAATCTCATAACCATGTGTACTGGCTGTCTCAAAAACATTCAAATATCCCAGATAGCCTCAAAAAGCAGGATTTACAGCTACACATCACTCTGATGTGACTTGAAGTACCTCGAGCAACTCTCACATGTGCATTCCCCTACGTGTGCACGCATATATATGCCTGTATTTCCCACACAGAGGGCTGACAGTCATGGCACTCATTTATCCCATTACCTGGCTTGCAGATGTTGAATTCCAGGGCYCCTCCAGAGTTGAGAAGCTTCTGCACCAGGGGCTTGGCAAGCATGGTGGGGGTGAAGAGGACGGGACGCCTGCGCTCGCAGTGGATGGGTCTCACCAAGCTATAGGGGATCAGACTGAGCTTCTTATTGATTTCACTGTCGGAATCCAAATCTGGGCAAAGAACAAGAAATTTATCCTCTGGGCTCCTCTCCATCAGTATTTGGGGRAAAAGGAGACACACATGAACCAGAAAGGGCATGCTTAGCCATACTGGTCTTCCTCCTTTTGACACGGTTGTCCTTATTACACACACAGCAGTATGATGTCCAACCTAATATTAAATAATTCAAATGCTTTTTGCTTTCAAGAGATTATTTCATAATTTCTTCAACACAATGTTTGCTTGGAGACTTTCTGCCTGTTAGCTTGGCTTACTCTGAGTTAAATGTTTTAGAGCAAAAGGCAAGAAAGTAGCTTGGAAGAACTGCCATGCAAACAGGATGTCCCAGTGAAGCTGCCTGTGAAGGCTTAGTGCCCCAATCATTTTTGGCAAAATCAGTTTTGRTCACAAATGYTGTTGMAYTTTTGCARYGTGGACCACAAATGCAAGATCTCTSATACATTTCACAGCCAGGCTGTGGTGTAAATGTTCATGTAGGCCTTTGTGCTAGTGCCATGTGTGTAAAAGCTGTTTTAGATCTGTACCTTCCAGTTTATCAGGCAAGTGCTTCATCCCTTCAGATGAGCTCCGCGCCAGGCCCGAGGGCCAGCCCGTGACGATGCGGACTCGCTCGTTGCTGTTCATCCGTTTGTATTTGTTCTCAGACCTACTGACAAACTGAAAAAAAAAAAATAGATTTGATCCTCATTTCTTGCATTATTTACCCTCCCATGTCTTCATCAGCTGACATTCTTTACCTACGAGATCTGAATTAGCTGTGTCTATCAAAGACAGGAGTCCATGGATCTGTTGACTGAATTCTAAGACTCTTTAAATATCATAGATCWGTTTCAGAGCCTGTGTTAATCCCCTTTGGGATTTCTTGTTTTGTTCTCTGCTCTTAAGAGGCRTGTTTTCCCTTCACAGAGCTCCTGCTATCTCCAGTACAAGCACTGCTGTGCACATCACACCCAGAGTATGTGCACAAACCTATCACAGGTTATACCCAAACTGCCTCTTCTTTGCTCTGCCAGAGAGACTTAAAAACTCCCAAAAGGCATCTTTTTACAGTCATTTTACACAAGAAATAGGCTTCATGCTTTCCCTCCTCATCCACCCGACTATTCCTCTATCCAAATATTAACTCCTCCTCCTGYGTATTTGCTAATTCACAACCACCTTCCTCCCCCAGGCTTTATCTGTCACMCACACAGTCTCTGTCAYGCTCAGAGTCACTGCCCACAATTAAAGGACTTTTTTCTAATGGAGCCCTATCTCAGAGATTTGGAGATTTGATGCAGCCCATTGGATTTGTCCCTCTGGTACAAGAAAAGCACATTTCAGCCTCTGAGGGGAGATGGGATTCCTCAAGGCACATCCAYAATGGAAACCATGCTTTTAAAAACAAACACCCCACATCACAATGGAAAACACAACCCATTCCTCTCCTTCATGCATTAAATCTCTTTCTGAGAGATTTAATGCACAATCTCTAGACCAGAGCTGGGATTTTGGGGGAATTAGGATAGTCTGAGAACATCTACTGTTCAGATCCACTATTGCAGACTTTGCAWTGAGGATTTGAACTTTATTACCTGTAAAATCTGGCCCAAAAGAAAGCTTGCTCGGGATAGGCGAGGGCTGGTTTTTGGGTCGTTCTGCAGGGCAGGCTCCTCTGGCTGCAAYGTATTCTAGTGAAAAATAACACAGGAGTTTCTCTCCCCCACCCTCCTTTTGTTTTTCTTCTTTYAATCATAACATTTGAGAAACAAAAGAAGCCAAAGCAGATATTTTGTATTTTCAATAAAAAGGAWAGTGATTGAGAGTTAAAACAAAGACAGTGTTCTGAGCAAACAGTGRACAGAGCATGGCCTATGCTGAAAAMCACTGCTTTTAAACTGCTCTTCACATTCCTTTTTTTCAAAGATTGCTCTCCACACCTAAGAAAGAGGTAATTTCYGCACCAAGAAAGATCATGCACAGCTTTTGCTTCACAAGCACCTCTGCCATTGATCTGTGTCCCTTTGATCAGTGGGGATGCGAGCACAGAAGGAATGTGTGACACTTAACCTTGACTGAAATCAAGCACAAGCACTGCCTGCCTGTCTCTGCAAAAGTTAGAAGCATGAATGTCTCTCAGACTCTAAAAATAACTTATGGTAATTGATACACTGGGAAGGTAGTTTTAATTATGTAAAGATGGAATTTTGGGGTCTAAAGAAAGCAAAATCAAATTACTGTTGATGATGGAAACGGAGAAATTAGAAGGGCTGTTGTGTGTGAAGACCTGATAATCCCAATTCTCTCCACTGCATCTAGGCTGGAAGRTTAGATTTTTCTAATGTGGGACAATGGGCTCTGTGGGTTAGAGGCTTGTTGACAATAGGAGAGAAATCATTCTGATTATTAACTCTAAGGACACAGCTTTTTCCCCATGTGTACATGAAGATGCAGAGAAGCATGAGAAGGGTAACCTAAAACACTGAACAGAGTTTTGACTTTCAAAGTGTACTCCCTCATAGCTGGAAGGGTTAATAGTGAGCCAGAGCTGTGTTCATTCCAAGGTAAAATATTATTTAAAGCAAACAGAAGGTACCCATTGCCTCACACAATCAAAACCTACAGAGAGTGTAAACAGGAATTTCTGTAAAATGATGATGAAAAATGAAAAACCAGTAGCAGGGGAGTTTGAGGTGTTAAAAAGACTTTGTTTGGAGATACTTACCCGCAGTGCTCGCAGTGTATTGTAGGAGTTTTCTGTCTCATCTTTGCTTCCTCTGTGCATCAACCGCTGCAGCTTCACCAAAAGGAGTTGCTGGGCTCTGAAAGAAAGGATGGAATCACATAGATCAAGATATTTTTGAAACCACTCACAAGAAAGCTGGATTGTGATGGGTCTGTGCCTACAGAAAAGATTAAATAGAAATAGCAGTGAGGACTGACTGAACCGTGCARTAAAAGCAGGAACAAAATAATAAGAACTGCAGTGCAGTTAAGGATTAAAGAATATTCATGGCATGTTTGCAAATGATACTTTTTGAGGAACCCACTTTATTTTTTTAGGGAACATCTGGAATCTCCTTTTTAAAGTTTTATAGCTTGTATTATGGTTTAACATTACCAGACCTTATCTCAAAATTTATGACACATTAGAGCAATAATTAGGTTCCCTGTTCATAGAGCCCTGCTGTCCCTCGTGGTCACTGAGCACCCCCTCACCTGCTGTAGCTGGGGATGGTGCCCATCTCCAGGTCCCTGTCCGTGAAGGGATCCACCCTGGCACACAGCCACTCACACCTGCCCTGGTACATGGTGTCGAGGATGTGGACGATCTCATCACATCTCACGGACAGGGAGCAGCAGTCCAGCTGGCTGGAGATGTTGAGGTTCAGGCGGATGTGGAACGAGTCCCCCGAGGTGATGAGCCCTTCRTCCAGCTCTGACAGCAGCTTCCTGTAGCCTGCAGCAGGGAGGGAAGGTGTGAGGCAGGATCTCACCCTCTGGTGTTGCTGCATTCTGGGGCATCCTCCGGGAGAAGGCACAGCACAAACTCCTCCAAGAGGCTCCTCCGAGAGAGGTTTGTCCTTTCCAAGCAAAACCATGGGTCTGCACCTCAGAGGCACCCATGGRACACTGCCCCAGGGCCAGCCCTGCTGCTGTCAATTCTCTGAAAATATTCTCATTATCTTGCTGCTTTTAGGGAACTCCATCCTCAGTACTCCACACATGAGCTGTGGAACAGAACTTCTCACCAAAGACACAGCTACAGCTTTGCCCTCTAAGTACAGTGTGAATTCTGCCACCAATTTTAATGACAAGCTATTCCCCTTATTATTAGCTCTAATTGGCACTCCCAGAATCTATAACATGCTTTATCTGTAGTTAAGTGATGCTTAAAAAATTGCAATAGTCTTTCCTACCATTGAAAACATCAAAGAAAATCAAAGGCATYGCTTCCTGTGTGATCTATGCAGCTGAAATTCTCTAACCAGCATAAAAACACGAACGCCCATTTATACACACCAGTAAAGAATGGATTTTGGAATGTAATTTTTGATCCATAACCTGAAATTATCATTATAGGCCCTGAACAGTAAAAATCAAATTCTGTTCGCCACACATGAACTCCAGCTGTTAAAGATAAGATAAAGCCACAAAGGTAATAAACAGGGCAACTCCATCAGGTAAATGCTAAATCGACCAGCTGGATAAAGATCATTCAGCTCACCACATTGTATTGTGGAAAACTGTACATAAAAATAAGCTTGAACGTGTTTTATGAGTCATGTTGCTATTGGGCACCATGTAAATTTTTCAGAAATCTGTTGACAAGCACATGGGCCTTTTATTTTCTCAGTCACGAGTTCCACAGAGGAGCTGTAATTAACACCAGTGTTCATTTATCCATGCTCCACGTTTATCCCAATACAAAGGATGTGCTGGTCCTGTCACTCTCTTCTGACAAGTTRCTCTAACAGACCTGGGACTGTTTGAGATGAGAAATGCTTCTGGCCTTACCTTCATGATTTGATTTATACTGGATTGTTACTGGACCACTGCACCTCTGAATTGTCCAGTGAACTTCTTCCTTTGTGCAAGTATCCAAGGGAATGCTTTGATTTTCCCCTTTAATGCAGCCCTCCAACTAAAATGAAAGAAATATTACTGTCCAGTGCGGGTTCAATCTCTGAGTCAATTATACCATTTTTTTTAAAGTGCCATAATCTTTATCTTATTAAACAAWGCAGACACTTTGCTATCAGAATGTAGATTATGTCCTAATTATATAATTAATTTTCCCTCAARTTAGGAATGCCAGCAGTCAACACAACTGCAGCACTTTGATAATCCCAGGATTCTCTGGGAGTAAGGAGTGAAGGAATACAGATTGGGGGTGTGTTTTTTTCTCTTGGAGGCATTTTAGCAGGAAGACTGTCTGGGAACATTGGCAATGGAGGGAAAACTAAATAAAGAGAAGCTTGTCAGAAGCACTGTTGAACTTGTGCTCCTGTGATTCCCAGCACAGGTGGGTGGGCAGACACCCAGCGCTGCTCAGTGACCATTTCATGCTCACCAGGAGGATCTGGTGTCCCTCCCGAAGGCCAGCTTTCTCTGCAGGGGAGCCAGTCTTGACTGAGCTGATGAAGCTGCCTCTGTCATTGCCCCCGAGCAGGGTGATCTCTGAGTTGAGGCTGTCCCCGTTGAGTGTCACCCGCTGGATGGTGTGACACGAGCTCCTGATGCGGCCCACRGACGTGACGGAGGGACGGAAGGGTCTGTGCTCAGAGAGGAAGGGAACTGGGTTAGAAATAAAGTTAGAAATAAAATTCCTGCACTATCAGCATTAACATCTAAGGGCTCTAACAGAAATCCTCCCAGTTACTGCACAAGTTCTGGAGAAAAGCGTCTGGATAGCTCCCAGTGCTCTGGTGAATGAAAACTCAGTGTATAACAGTTCTCCACTCAGCAAGCTCTGGCAGCAAGATAGCAAAACCACCAGGAGAATTTAAACCTTTAGAAACATTTTGTCTGCCTGGAAGTTTTTGAAATTTTAGAATGACCTTCAAGGCTTTATAGGACATGAAAGGGCTCCAAGATAATGTTATAGTGCTGCCACCATAATCACTCCTGCCGTTAWAACTTCAGCAACTAATAAATAGAGAGTTTCTGCCACAGCTGCCTTTTCTCTCACTCTCTAAGGCAGGTAAACTGGTGTCTCAAATACCTTTCCAGAGAGAACTTTCTGAATATGGAGTGGACATGCTCAAGCTCATAGGCGTCCAGGCCTTCTGACTGATGAGAAGAAGAGGAAGAGTGCACTGAAGGAGCTCCATGTGACTGCCTGTCGTGACTGTCATCTGCAAAGAGTAACAAGAATGATAATGAGTCCTACAGAAAGTGACAAARATGGAAAAGGGGAAAATGAATTTTAATTGATCCCAGCCAGAGCTRAAGTAGGAAATTCTTGATGCAGAGATATGATTAATATCCACAGGACATGGCACAAGGAATGCAACTCTCACAGAACAGAAGGTGCAAAGGGACCTCTGGAGTCTGTCTAGTCAAAGCTCAGTGCAGGGTCAGACCAAGGACATTGCTCAGGACTYTATCCAGATGGGTTTTGATATCTCCAAGGATGAAGAGTTKGACYAAAACTCTMTGRACAACYYTGTTCCAGTGTTTGACCACCCCCACRGTGAAAAAACCCACTTAGTTCTTCAGGAATGACTTTTCCATTCTCACCTAGCTGACCCTTTGTTTTGTCATTTACCCAAACTGTGTGTCCCATTTACTCAGAGCAGGGCTGGTTGATTACATATTAGCTCATAATTCATCATTCATGTTGTCCTCTCACTTACCATCCAGCTCCAAAGCATCACATCCAAAGCTGTCATTGTCCTCTTCAACCAGGCTGGAATTAAAAACAAAGCATGAGATAATGGAAATGAGAGAGACAGGAGGAGAAAGAGAAAGCTGAACATTTTCCAGCTTTCAGCAGATTTCATTCATTTCTGAAGGAGGAACTTCTGTGAAAAAGGAAGATGCTGGATGTGTTGCATCAGGCAATGGCACAGCTGCAAAAAAATAAGGAAGGAACATCCATGAGGATGTCAAGTGAGATACAGAAAAGGGCAGGAAGACAACACATGTCAGCCAACACGGGAAGCAGCAAGAAGGTTCAGGAGGAAGAATTGCCACCAGCAGTGAGGGAATGAAGATTTTGCTGGAGACAAAAGGACTCACAACACACTCAGCTCAGCACGGAGATCAAGGCTGCACAATTCCTGCTGGGCACACACTGCWCCATGGGGGCTTTCCACGAGACAGCAAAAAGCCACAGCTTCACTGGAGGACAGAGCAAATGCAAGGGAAGTTACTGAGGTGCAGCCACAAAGGAGCAATTTCTCTGCTTGATTTAAAGCACTTGAAGCATTTTATAGCAGTTTAAGGGTACCTCGCATGGCTACTCAGGTACAGAATGGCAAAGTGCTCCAGGATTTCRCACAGGAACTGCCACAGCTCTGCTCCCAGCCCAGCTCCCAGTGACACTGCTCTTCCTGGTAAAGGTGACCAGGCTGGTTGGCCTTAAAACCACACAAAATTCACTAAAATTTTGCAGGAGTATCAGGGCTGTCCWGCCAAGTGAGCGATCTGTCAGCTTCACTAGAAGGACTTCATTAAAGCATGTCCTTTGGTTGCAAAGCTGTTTAAATAACAGCTTGTTGTTTTTCCCATTCAGAATGATTTGTAGGTCTCCTGTGGAGCTGATATTCCTCATATTTGGCTCCAGCTGAAGGGTGAATTTTTGCAGCCAGGCTGCAGAGAATCAGCTATTTTTACAACATGCATAAGCAGGGAAATAATGTACCTTTTCCTACATTAAATGATGATCTCACCTTTTTTTCACACAAATTAAGATGAGATGAACTGTGAAACCTGCAACTTGGCTTGCAAACAGCAATTATTCTGGATTATGTTCACAAATAAGTTACAAAAATTTATCATGCTAATTATAAAGTTATAAACTACCATGAACTTTTGAGCAGGCTCTTGAGATWCTTGACTTTAGTGATTATCAGCTCAACAAAGTAAGCCCACATTCAGACCTTGTTCCAGGATACCTTTTCTTTCCACATGAAGAATGTCTAACATCAGGGAAAAATTCAGATTTCAGAACAACTCAGTCTTCCAATGCCTTAACATATGGAACAGGATACAGTCAGAGTTACAGTGAAATAAATCCATAAGATGAATAATCTCCATGTAATCTCTACTGCATTCCATAATATACTGCAAATATTGAAAAGTTCAAGCAAGCCAAAGGCTTCTCAAGCACCTGAAGCACAAACCATTCAAACAGTAATAAAAAAAACCTTTTCCCCATCTTGAATTAATATAACACACCTTAAAAAGGGACTTGGAGGACAAYGYAGGAGAAGCTAAGGGAGACTAAAAKAAACAYTGCTTAAATCCTCAGCAGCCTAGAAAATTATGTGAGAGAACCAACTGAGTTTGCCCTCAGTGGAAAGCTGTCTTGCAAAGCTGTCCAGAGAGAGAGGCAGAAGTGGCAGTCTGCCCAAGATCAGATTGYTTTGAAAAACATAAAAATCTGAATAAATTTCTAATAAAGATTGTACATTGAAARTAGAGCTGATAAAGAGCTAAACCCTCCACATGTATTGCTTTCTTTCTAAATTGGCCTGCTTTGTTCTTTTCTCCTTGTGCTCAGGRCCTTTAGGGAATGTATTTGTGCCTCCTGATATTTCGGATGCAGACACTGATGCTATCGACATCACACCCAGCATGTCTGAGCATCACATTGCAAAAAAACCCTTCAGAAAAAGGGTCAGTGCCTTTTAGGGAACTGTGGGGCAGGAGAGGAATCTCTCCTTCCTGCCACCAACTTCCACTCACCAGCTGATGTGATTTCAGTGCCAGAGGAAGTCCATGGTACCCTGACCCAACACACATGGGAGCAGAGCAGAAGGTGAAGCTGAGGGCAAAGCCTCTCTCTTCCCTCCCTGTTCCGAGATACAGACCCTGAGCCTGACAAAAACCACCTCCCTCCTCCACTTCTCCTTCCCATTCCTCACAAAGGTTTGAGCAGCTCTGCTCTGCTTTGAGAGCTTACAGAGCAGAAGGGGGAGCTTTGAGAGGAGGGGAAAGAAAAGGGACACGAGAGCAGCGTGGAGCTCAGGAATAAAAACTGAAGGGAGAGCACTTTCTTCAACAGCATCAGTGCCGAGTCATTCCAGTCCTGTTCCTGTTTCTGTCCATTGAAATCAGTGCTGCAGTGGGATCACYGTGTCATTCATCCTGGCTGAACTGTCACACACCCCTGAGAGGTTTGGCCAAAATGTGAGATGAAGAGCTACAGCCTGGAGATGTTTAAGTCAATCCTGCTGCCTTGCAGAGGCTCTTCAGGCAGAGGCAGGCACAAGGATTTGCAGAGCCCTTTTCCCCTTGTCCTTGTGCTGGTAGGGTTAGTGCAGGCTGCCCCAGAGTGTGACCCACCTGCAGTGAGGGGTGTCCTCCTTGCAGCGCCGCACGATGGAATCGTTCCCGGGAGGCTCAGGAGTGGTTGACATGATGCTGTCGTTGCGATTCCGCAGKGTTTGCTTCGAACAAGAAACCAAAAAGGTGTCAGAAAGGTTATCTGGCTGAAATGGGCTCTCACTGCTAAGTCACAGCAGCATGAGGAGTGGTACTCTGCACTGCTGGTACCCTGCACTGCAAAGCACACACAGAAAAAGAAGAGAGGTTGAYTCTGGCTGTGCAGAATCCAAGAACGCTCATATATTGCAGTGTTTTAGCACAATGCACAGCTTGTGTGCTGGCACTGCACCTTCTCCTGTGACCACATAACTGCCTGATTTACAAAGCCACTGTAATTTTACCCTTGATGTGTGGTGTATGYGCTGCACAGCTGACATAGGAGGAGGAGGATGGAAAGCACTATGTGTACTGTATATACATATATATAGTTGGAATGAGGAAGAAAAATACAGATCTTCATATATTAAATAACTAATCTTCCAGTACACTGCAAACTAAACCCTGAATTGCACTAGAGAGAAGAYAGTGTAACTCATCTAAACATCCAACAGATATTCCAAAAAATATCCCTAACCCAGCTAAGCTTATTACAAGTGGCAGCAAGTTCTCTCCTGGCTATTCTTGAGTATAATTTTAATTTCCTGGGGGCAGCATTTTTCACAGTGTTCCAGAAAGATGTTTTGTTCTTTGTTATTAACACTCTGCAAGAGCACTCTCTCTATCTGCCTGTCCCGCTGTGTCAGTGCTCACATATGTATAATGGAATATCTACCTTGGAAGATTATGGGGATACAGCAAGCAGGGAAGAAATGGTTTGACTACGGTATGCAGAAATTTCCAGCTGTGATCTGCACCCCTTTCCTCACTCGCTGTTACTTGTAGACAGAAAAAGCATTATAGAACTCAAAAAATCCTTAAAATTTTCTTAGATAAGTTACAAAGAAGCTTTTAAAGCAAATCTCTTGTTCTAACAGCAAATGTTAAATGGCATAAGGAGACAGCAAGAGGTCATAAATACCTTWGAAATATCTTTAAATAAACATAAACCAATTCTGTGATTTTGGGAAAGGCTAATAACACAGTTCTAACAAAATGCTGGTAAAAGGATTAAGGGAGCTTCTGACAAGGGCCTTGAATGTGATCACAGCTGGGATGCTGGGGAAGTGCTAATGCTGAGTTGTGAAAGCTCTGAACCACATGAGGAGAGAGAGGAAACGGGCATCCTTACAATTTTGGTGACCTCCGAGCTGCTGATGGAGTTAGTGATGGACAATGAGGAGCTCGTGTCCGTGCGGCCGGTGCTGCCCTCAGCCCCATCTTCATCCTGAGCTCGGACTGCTGCACTCACAGGAACACAGAGAGAAACCAGAGAAAAGCATGTCAGACACTTCCAGTGCACAGCCTTTCACAGATGTGCCACCACACTTCTGCTCCTTTTCCATTCTGGCTGATCTTGTACTGGACCCGTTCCTGCCCTGCAGCTCTGGCTCCCCTTCCTTCCCCGGCAGTTCCCAACAAAGCACAGAAATTCCCACCCCTCTGCACAGATTCCTGCCCACTTTGTCTCTCAACTCTGTCCTGGACATTTTTAATAGATCTATGAATTCTATTTGACAAATTAAAGAAGGATTATTTCATKAATTTATGTTTTAATTTTACCACTTGAATCTGGCTCGTTACCTTTTTTACAACAAAAATTTTACAACAGGGACCAAGAAGCCTGAGATCCCTCTGTGGCCCCAGGTAACACAGTGTGAATTGGACTCCTTCCCTTCCTCAGCASCTCTGATTTGGGCTAACATTAMATTCCCTGATAGCAAAGCTGCTGTTTCCCATGATATTTTGTACAACAGGGCACACTCACACAAAAACTGAAGGAAATGCTGCCTGTGATGGTGTTTTGTTCAGGGATAGAGTTACACAAATAAAGAGGAATTAGGAATAGCTCAAACATGAGTTTACAGCAAAAAATTTGGTAAGTTGGCAGCTGGCTGGGGCATGGGTCAATCTCCCTCTCCCTCTCTGCAATGCTTTAGATTTAAAATTAATTCCCTTTTGCTGAAGGACAAAAGAACTCATTAGACAATCACTAGATTAGGGCCTTTTCAGCTTGAATGATTTTTTCCAACAGCAAAAAGAGAATGGTATAATGATTTTTAGTACAGATGTTGCACAAATGACTTTTCAATTTTTGGAAATGAAAAGGAAAACTGAATAAACAGAAAATTTAGGTAACGTATGGGATGCACATCATGTATCTATGGAGGTATCTTTGGATGGAGAGGACAGTGAAGTAGAACTCTTGACTACTTTAAATTATTACATTGGTAACYGTGAGAGAAACTGGGGTTTTTTACTGGCTTGGACTTAGTTAAGGTTTTCCCTGGTTGGCATATTTGTTAAAACAACTTAAAGAGATTAAGTGAAAGAGACAAAGGAATAGAAAAGGAGTAAGGACATGGGTGCTCTTTCTGACCTTGAAACTCTGATGTTTTGTTCATGCTGACAGGGGATTTAGCTCTTGGACTTATCTAAAAGAAAGAGGACAAAAATGAGCACAAATGCAGAAAATTTGCCACACATTGTAAACCAGCTATTTTAACCTCCTTTCTTTGCTGTCACATTGTAATATATTTGCCCTCATTTAAACAACAGRACCCAAAATTTAGAAGATATTTTGGTATCTAAATACCACAGCAGTGATTGAGGGTTAGCAACCTGCCTACTTTTGAATGTCTGGCCCAAATGCATCACAATTTGCAGATTCTGCTGAGGAAACAAAGAGACAAAAGGTGAAGTGGGTGCCTTGGGACTGGTTTCAGGCAGCTGTTAATACAACAGGCATCCTTTTGGAGTGTGCAATGTGAAAAATGCAGCTCTATCGCCATAGGTAATAATGACAGTCAGAGCTCAGAAAGGTTATGAAGGGCAGGGAGAATTCAAATGCACATGAAAGGAAAGAGAACCTCAAAAGCCCGAATGTTAGATTTTTGTGGAGTTTAACAATTCATGAATACAGCATCAGATAATAACAGTGTGAATGCAGCTAGTCAGGGAAATCATGAACCTAACTCATGCTACCCCTTCCTGTTAGGAGTGAGGAAATTGCCATAATTTAATTCTAAATTAGATAGTTAATTTTGCTCTAGATTGTGTCCATTTCTTTCTATTTTTCCTTCCAGCTGCTGAGAGCTTTTCCACTGATGCTTCGTTTTTCACCTTCAGTGTGTGTTGGACCTCAGGCATTATGTCATTTTTTTTTTCCACTAATGTTAAGGAGGCCAAGAATCAATTTATTGACAACGCTCCAAGAATGTGAATGAACAGCAGAAGCAAGAAAACAGAAAATGGAGAGAAGGGACAGAAAACAGTCTATGAAGCTTGATTAGATCTGCTCCCCGAGATGCAAATCACCACAGGGCAAAAACTGACAGCTCACTATCACACACAAATCTATTGTTATCTTTACAGCACTTTCAGAGGCACTGCCACAACATGTGTTATGTCTGATAGTTCTAACAGTCCCTGCTCTGTGTCATCCCAGCCTCAYATTCACAAACCTGGATCCCCTTGAGGTTCACTCTTCTCTTGAGACGAACTTGATCRGGCAAGAAGAATTTGTTGTCTTCTGGAGAGTCTTCAGAAGTGGAGGAGTCATCGGCTTCCTGACCATTGGCTTTTGGGCCAGAAGACCCAAAGGCCTGGGAGATAACAGTAATGGGAAGATTCCGTGGCAAACTCTAAAGATCACAAGGGAACACTTCTGAGACCAATTTGGTACAACTCATAACCTTCCTTAAAGTAATCTGATTGAAACTGTTGTGGCTCCTGTGCTTCAGAAACTCATGTAGAATGTGGCTCCAGACCCAATCAGTAATTTGGACTGAGATTAATGGCGATTTCTGTTCACTGATTAAATTCTGTTTCACTCACATTCCTAAAAAATMTTTGTAGTTTCCACCCCCATGTAGAAAATAAGTGATTTTCTGCATTTCTTTCCCTTCCATTTAAAATCAGGCTGTGCAATGGCAACCTTTGGGAAGCCAYGTGCACGACAGACAACTTGAACCACACTACAGCAAAGAATTCACCGCACTGACATTCAATAGGAGGAGATTATTTTCCTCAGTTAATTCACAGAAAGAATTTAAAAAGTCCCCTCTCCTTTCCCCATTAAAACATTTGCAAAACCCAAGTCTTAAAAAAGAGCTCAGGTCTGTCTTGCTCAGCCCTACCTGGTCGAGGAAGTTGTTGTCCTTGGAGAGGCGCCGCAGTTTGCACTCCAGGTTGACGATGCACGCTTCCTTCCGCACCACCTCGATCTGCAGCTCGTCATTTCTCTCCTCCAGCTCCCTGATCTGCTTCCTGTATTTGTCCTTCTCGATCAGGCAGTGGGAATACTGGGTCTGAGCCTCGTCACGCGAGCGGAATGCCTGCAATGGGGAAAAAAAACCTCTGTGGCACCTTTGGCAGCAGCCCCTCCTGCTGCTGGCTCTGTTTGTGAGGTGCTGGCAGGACGGGTACCTAGTCACCCATTAACACAACAATCAGGATCAGGATGTGCCACAGTAGCACCATTAAAAATGATGATGATGATGGTGGTTTATTTCCAGCTCCCTCTGGGTTGGTGGGAAGATGTCCCCGAGTGCAAATGGGGTGATGTGACACTGACATAAAGCCTTGCAGGAGCTGTTGTTAAGATCCTGGGCCTGCCTGCCAGATGCTGCACTGTGGAAACAGCCCAATATTATCCCGTGTTTAATTGCTGYAATGCAAATCCCAACAAGTGATTCTTTTAACTGCTTGTTTTATAATGGTACTTTGGGCCCAATTACGCCCAATTCCCCAAAGTGAACAGAGGAGATAGAGGCTTTGCTGTTGATTTTCCCCCACTGTAACCGTGAAATACCTGGTCCCGCTCCTTTTCCACCTCTTCCAGCTGTATCATCACAGTGTTCATGCGGTGCTTGTACATCTCACAGTCTTTTCCTAGTGTTGAGCACTTTAACTCCAAATCTTCTTTCTCCTCAAGATACTGGAAAGGACACAATGTTAACCACCGCTGCTCTCAGAGGCAYTTTAGGCTCTAGCCTGAGATATTTCATCTCTCTACCCTTCCATCACTCACCTTGTCTCTCAAATCCTCCACGTGYCGAATTTCCTCTTGGAGATTAAAGATCTTGTTGACCAGCTCGTGGCGATCCTCCAAAGCCTCCTTACGGTCGTGCTCCAGAATATCCAAAATGGCTTTGTCTGAATCTGGCAAACCCCTCTTGTCAGCCTGAGGAAAGAACATTTTTAAGAGCCAGGCCAGGGAAACAGAAAATAGTATTGCAGGRAGAAAGGTATCAGAGACAGTAACAAGCAAGAGGAATAGCAAATGAACAAGGAAGTGCAATGGGAAAGCAGGAGAAGAGATGGACATTTGTTCATATTTTAAAGCAGTGTCAAGAAAAGATGAATAAAGTCTGTCTTGCTGTCAGAATAGTCTGATGAAGGAACTGTTTTACTGGTCTATTGTACTGGCTGTAATTTGATCCGGTTTGGATGCAATGACAATTCTTCACTCCAAGCCCTGCATTCAAAACYCTTTTCTATTAATCAGCTCTCACTGAGCACAAAAATCAGCCTTTTCCAAAGAGAAGGGCCTAAGAAAATATTCAGGGGAATTTTTAAGGCATGCACAGGCTTTGCAGGGCTGTGCTCAGAGAATATTAAACATGCCTGGAGTACCTTGCACCACTGCTTCATTTTCTACACTGTCCAGCAATATAATTCCTTTCAGATTTAAAATCAACAAGATTTCCARAGCAGGTTCCAACATATAATTGCCATCCAAAATTAAACACAAATGGAAGATTAAAAAAGCATWAAATGCCAGCAAGGAATATGCATATTTATTTTTGAAATACTGAGACTAAGTTGGACATTTCAGGGACATTTTGGTTATCCAATATTTCTAAGCATATCTAAAGCATTTCTAAAACAAACTGGTTTAGGTTTATTTATACTTTCACTTAGGAGAATTTCAATCCTATTTTTAGAAATTTCTTTGTTTCTTTAAGTGCTACAAGACCATTTCAAATGATATAAGAGATCCTATATGGATCAGAACTCCCATAACCTTCAATCCCACACCCTTTTTTCAACCTTTGAATTGGATTTGTATTGGAACTAAGAATCATTAGGCACTGCTAGAGGCTACAGCCATTTCCAAAAGGCCTTCTATTGATAATTTTAAAGTGTCACTTTAAAATGCCACAAGCCTTTTCCAACAAAGTGCTGAGTAGTCTCACAAATATCCTAATATTTGGCTAAGCTCTTCACAGAGGAGTCCTAAATGTGCTGCAATCATCTGCCTTCCCTGCCTGCTCAAACACAGCTTAGTGAAGCTCCCTGTGCAAGTTACAGCAGGTTCTACAGGGTAYCCTGGTGCTCAGTGACCACAAAAGTACACGAATCTTTATTACCCTGAGCTTCATTAAAACCTTCTGGCAAAGATATGGTGACAGCCTAACACAGGGTACACAGAGCCACTGTCAGAAATTTCTGGGCTGGCTGTTTAACACAGCTTTGTAGTGACAGGCTGCTACAATGTTCAGAAATTAAACCCTGCGCTCTGGGAAGAGCCAATTTCTCATGTACATTTGTTTTTTTAGAGGGCTATTTTTGTAGAACTCCTCCTCACACATGTGAGGAGTACAGGGAGCACTGCAGACAGCTGGGAGATGTACAAGCAGCCTTCTGTTTGCCCAAACTTTGCCCTTCTGCTGCTTGTAGCTTTGCAGGCAGAGGTTTCAGCCAACACTCCCTGCACTGTAAGTGGAGAATGTGTGRGTTTGAGGTGAGGAGCAGCAGCAGAGACCACACCACCTCCTCTTGTCCATGGGCACCAATTTCCCTGTCACACACTCAGCTGTCACCACCCTCCTCCAAACACTCAGATCCCCAAGGACAGCCTCCAATGCTGAATCCATTCTCTGGGTAAGCAGGAGGGGTAAGCTGAAGCATYAGGGATTTTAAAAGGCAGAAATCTGCTTTCATACCTGAATGATGGACTGTAACTCCTGGATTTTAGTCTTCATCATCTCATTTTCCCGCTCCAGCTCCAGAACCTGYTCCTTTTTGGGTCTGTTTTCAATATCATTTTTCAGCTTCAAAGACTGGTTCCTCTCCAGCTTGCACTCCTCTTCCACCTTGTTCAAGCGATGCTTGAGCTGGTCAATCTAGAGCAGTGAAAAGGAGAAAGAGGAGAGGAAGGGAATCCTTCCTRGCTCTGACATTYAGTGCTCTGGAAAAGCTCTCMCTTCCAGGTGAAAATGTAGGTGGTAAAAATARCTTAATCTCTGAATGCTAACAAGGAGTAGATAATTGGGTGTTGAATRTCCACAGCTGAGCTGATGAAATCCCAAGTACAAACCAGCTACAACTCATATCAGCTGGTTGTGAGCTTTTAGAGAACACCTGGACTAAAAAAAAGTGGCACATCCTCAATCCTCCAATAAACAGAGAGAAATAAAACAGAATGAACACTTCAGAGGCTGTGATTTTTGCACACGAACTATTTGGATCAGGAAAAACAGGAGAAAATTCAGGATATCTTTCTAAATAAACCCCCAGCAGATGTAGTGCATGCCTGAATAACTGTACCAAGGCATTCCTAGCCTAAAAAAGCTAAAATTATGTTTGCAGCAARAAATTATGTTTTAAATTATAGTTGTACTTGTGTTCTGTTCTGTTAATCCATTACCTGCCATTAATACACATCCCTCAGCTGGCATTTCTGCAGAGTGATGCCTCCAATCATCTGGACAAGCAAAGCAAATGAGAGCTCCACACCTTTCTGCTGTCTCCTTTTCTCAGATGCCACCAGCAGCCTCAATTGCTGCTCCTGCCCAAAGCACCCCAGAGCATTTATCTCACCTCCAACTGCAGGTCTCKGCTCCTTATCACAGCCATGCTCTTCTCGTCACTCAGCTGGGCATATCTCATGGCCAGATTGTAGTTCTCATCTTTCACCTTGACCAGCTCATCGTTGTAATTGTTCCTCTCCTCCTTCATCTTGTTGTATCTCTCCTGGAAGGTCAGCAGCTCTATCTTGTTGAGTTTTAGCTGCTTTCTCTCATCCTCCAGCTGGCGTGATTTGGCCAGGAGCTCACAGCGCTGCACGTCTTTTGTCTTCACTTGCTGCTGGAGCTTGATGATCTCGTTCATTAGGAAATGGGTAAGGCCTTCRTGTCCTTCCTCCACTGGAAATGTTTGAACAGCTTATCAATGCCTAGTAAAGTACCTTATTTAAGTTATTTTATTAATAGGTAGCATCAACACAACTCAGTAAGGAACAAATGGTCCAGAATAMGTACAGAGGTGCAGGATTTGCACAAATTCATRCAMATCTGTATGTCTAACTGGGAGCAGYACAAATATTAYACAGCACACTGATATCAGAATCACAATATACACATATACAGCTTGTCTGGATAGAATATGAAGCCTTTACATTTTTCTTGTTTATCTGAGCCTGTGGAAATAGCACAACCTTTGTAAAATGAATCTGTACAATTAATCTGAATGCTTCAAATGTGCTGCACATGTGTGGGTCATCAGTGTAATTTAGCCCACTGTTCCAAAATAGCTTCTCTGGAGATTTCTGCTAATGCCTATCATTCCATTTGAAGCTTTTCAGCTTCATTCAGACAGCTGGGATATCTTTTTGCTTTATCCATTACCTACTACATTTTCCTTTGAAGGGGACTGAGAAGCATGTCACAACAAGATTAGCTTTTATTTCCACTTCATGTCTGAAAAAAAAAAAACAACCCAAGCCAGTCTTCCAGATAGTCCTTTCTTCAACAGGCTCTTTGTGATTGATTCTACTCACCAACAATAGTGGAAAATCTCCGTGTAGGTTCTTTCCCTGTCACCAGTTTGTAGAGTTCAGGGTAGTAAAACTCCAGGCTCTCCAAGAASACCACGTAGCCCCTCTGGCCCTTGGTGTGGAGGATGTCCAGCAGCCGGCCTGGGAACAGACAGCAGAGAGGTGACACATCAGCCCCAGCAGCAGCAGGAGAGAAGAGCCCATCCCTAGAGTCAGATCTGCCTAAGGTTCATCTGTGCCACAGCAACGAGCTGTGCAAAATCCACCTGATTAGCTGAGTTCAGCTGAGCCCAGAAAGTAGTGCCACAAATTCTATATGTTTGTGCTGATTGTTATTCTGAAGGAGAGTGGGCAAAYTGGTCTCTGGAACAGAAATTTTAAAGGACAAGTTATTCAGGGCAGCCTTTACCAGGCAAGGATGGCAGATCTTTCAGTGACAAATCATGAAGAACTGCAAGAACAGCTGAAAGCTGCTCCTGGAATGGCACTGGCTGCTGCTTGTATTAACTGAAATATTCACCAAGGCTTTGATAGGAATTTGAGCCCCACGAGCTCCAGTCTGCACAGCATTGGGAAGAGTCTTTGTTATCAAAATAGCAGCAGCAGAATTCTGCCTCACTTTAAACCTCCTGTAAATAAGATATAGGGTTTCCATCTGATAATCTGTAACTTGATAACAGGCTCCCTCCAGACTTAGCAAAGCAAAGCTGCTCGGGCAGAGATGCAGATGGAGCCATAGACCAGTWAATTACCTGCTCTGTTAATTTTGGAGGGCAGCATAAGGGAGTTGAGCACCTCATCCTCATCCTGCTCGTCGATGACTTTGCACTGCCGTAGGTAGGGGGTCAGCTTGGCCGGGTTGATGTAGCGGCTCAGCATGTGCCTGTTGCACTCCACGTTCTCCCACAAAGCCTCCTCCTCATCTTTCAGGGTCTCCAGGCAGTCATCCATCTCTGGTTCTGCTCCTTAACCAGGGAAACAATCAGCAAAGGAACACCTAAGCAGGACAGCTTCARTGCTGGAACTGCTTTGAGCTTCCATGGGATGGGACGAGCTCAGAACCGCTCCTGACTAATGCAGAATTTGCCCAATATTGAAGGTATTAGAGATGCAACCTGTCCACAGCTCATCTGGGAATTCACAGAAATGCCATTTCGAGCCTGTGAACTATTGCTCATCACTCACCAGTGACCAACCTGCACTCAGCCACCTCCACTGARGTCTCTCCAAGTCACAGCATCCCTCTGCTCAACAGAGGCACAGTGCAAGGCAAGAAGRGAATGAACCTGCAGAGCTCAGAGCAAAGACAAATCCTGGCTGCAGGCAATGAAGGCTTTTATCCTCACCCCTCTGCTCCTCACAGCTGAACCTGCTCAGATGTGATGAGCCAGCACCTGTAAGTGGTTACACACATGAAAAGTTGAGTTCAGGTCTAGTTGTGGGTGGAGTGAGGGGTGTAAATGCAGGCACCTGGGAGCTCAGACCTTGCCTTTCCCCGCAGGAGAGGGCAGGTAACAGCACTGTACCACTGCAGTCTGAAAATACTCTTGACTMATGCAAATGTTGTCACATGGTTTCTGAGTGCTTGCAAAGCAATTTCCTGCCAGCTCCTAATTTGTACCCACCTCATTAGAGAAGGTTACATGGCAGGCTACAGTGAAGCAGGAAAACTTGTACTGAAGTCAAAATTAAAGAAACTAAAAAAAACACCCTTTCCTTCTCTATTTTGTAATAAATATTAACCTTTTAACTGGTACTATTTTTGCATTCTAGCTTTCACAGGGCCTTGTGATCTAGGTGGCACGTGGAACATAAGCTTCTATTTCAAGTTCAGAGACCCTGGTGGATGAAGAATATGCAGTTCTTGGCTCATATGAGACGAGAGCTGTGCTTTATGAGGCTTTGCTGGTAATCAGTAACCAAAGACCTCAAAAGCAACATGTTGTTTTCCTCAGCTTTCAGCTTTAGGAACTGCAGTTCAGCCTGTGTTACACCGAGCATCCCTGGGCAAAAGCAGCTCSTAAACTGCATAGCCAAGGGCTGTTAATTCCTCATTTTGAAAACTAAAGCCAAAAGTGCTAATCTGCTAAATAATGTGTTTGYCAGTGTTCTCACATAATGAAATACAGAATATTCCTACAAAAACAATGCATGCTCTCTGTTCGATGCTTTTAAAGCTTTCCCAGTTTGTCAAAAACCTTAGTCAGGGTTTCAATATCTCAATGAGAAAAATTTGGATGGTTCTTCATTGTATGGACAAGTTAAGGGAGCATTGCCAGGGGCTTTGTTCTTTTGCTGTACTCCAGCAGAGTTCTTTTCTTTGCAGTTTCACATCCTGGGAGCCACTTATTCCATGTTTGCTTTGATCCATGTGGATTCATCACTCCTGTGCTGTTACATATTCTGGGAGAGACCACAGTCCTCAGAGGGCCAGGAAGACAAGGCAGGCTCAGTGGAATTGAGAATGATGGGGACAAGGCTGTAGTTAGGGGAAAAATCTCCCTGAACTCCACACTGGCTGGACAAAATTCTCATTGAGTGCCAGGATTATGTGATAAAAATGATACTGCAGCAATGAGGAGAATAAAGATAAAACAATAGAGAAGAAGTTTTACAAAGCAGGTTGCAGCGGGAGGAAAGCTAAAGGTGAAAGAGCTTCATCTGAAGTCCTCACACATTCTCACGACCCTCACTCTACATCACTTATTCTGGAAGTAGCCGTATTTCACTTCAAAGGTGAATTTACCAAGTGCTACATAATTGGAGAAGCTGGACTTTGGGGAATAGGAGGCAGTGAAGCAGAAGGTCACACAGTCCCTCAGTCAGCTCACAACCACAGCCACCTCCTGCAGCTGAACAAAGGACAGTCACAGGCCCTTTAATTTCTGGGAGCGTACCAGGGAGATCAGGGATGGACCTCAGAGCGCAAAAGAAGCACTCGCCTAAATTTCATAAAATGCAAGATATCTTGTAATCTGCTGCACTGAACCAGAAATTATTGCACACTGTCAGCAGTTCCCTCAGGACATTAGTAAGGGATTTCTCCACTAAATGATTCAAAGAAGAGTTCACTCATCAGCGTAATTCCCAACATGAATATGCTTTTTTCTTTTTTTACCTGACATTAAAAAAAATCTTTATCAAATAGTCCCTTGTGTACGGGTGTAATACATCCATACTGTTATTTTGGGGACATAATGTTTAATGGGAAAGTAATAACTATATTGCATGAGTGGCTCAGAATTTTAAGAGGAGATTTCTRGTTCCAGCTAAACACAGTCTATTATCAGGAGCCAGCCCTGAGAAATTTAGGAATGTCATGAAGGAATGTCAGACTGCCCCTTTTGCTGTCTCCTTTAGAATTCCACCTTGGAAATGCCCTGTTAGAGGCAGAGCTGAGCTCTGTCCATCATCTCCCAGGGATGTGAAAAGGTACCACTGCTCCCTCCTGGAGCTGAGGTGTTGCCTTTGTTGTGGTTTTTTTTTGTGCACAACTCCCATGGAGCTCCTGTGTCCTGTGGAGCTGTTCCAGAGAAAACAGCAATGAACAGCTGACATTAGTGCASAACCCCTCCTACTAAGCAAATAATTCTTTGATTTAGTATTTAATATAATGTTAAATAGGAAAAAAAATGCTTGCCATTGGTTGAAATTTTGGTGTGCTGGTCAAAACCCCAGATGTAACAACTGAAACKCAGTGGGAAACCAATAAAGGTCTTGTATTACTGGCTTTAATTTTAGAAGATTTTTAGCAGTACATGCATTTTCTAGGCATTTAATAGCCCTTATTCCCTGCTTCTGTCCTTCCTTCCTATGATGATATTGCAGAAAAGTTGTTTTCACATATRAAATTAAAAATGACAGATTTAAAATGTTTTCAAATGTGTAATCGCTTATTTAAKCTGATCTTTATTACCATTATCTACTTTGTGATTCCAACACCTCTCGAGCTGTAAACTAACACATCCAGGAGCTGTGATATGTCATAGGAATACTATAGCATCCAATATAAATCACAGGTGTGAAGTCACAGACTTGGACTGACTTCAACAGACATTAAGCAAAAAGAAATCAGAAATCACCACCGCCGTTCAAAAATTGCTCTCCTGCTGCTCCTTTCAGTAGTTAGTATACAAAATAGCTTTTAACTGCAGGAGAGCTTAATCCAGTAATAATCTCAGCTAGCTGCATCAATTTCAAAGATCTCTGGAGTTGCAGACAAATAAAGGAGAGAATCCCTTTTCACATGAAAAGGAACACTCTGCTCCCCTCGTCGCCTTTTCTCTCTCAGGGACTATCCTTCTGCTGGCTGGTACACACAAATGAAGGGTTCTAGATGTTTGCTGGTTTTTTTTTTTTGCTGGTGTATTTTTCAGCTGAACAAATCACCTTGCAGTTAAAGCTGCTCTCTGCTCTCACTCAGACTCCACACTCTCATATGTCAGTGACACTCTCCACTGATCAAGGGAATAAAGCCTGCAGGCTTCAGACCCAGGGGTGCTATAAAGTGCTCATCACCAGGTCACATCTAAAGCTTCATTTTTGTTTTTTTCTGCTTTGTTTGATGATGGTGCAGAAATTAACCCTTCAGCTGTTTAATTTATTTTCATCCTCGTGCTCTCAATTCCTGCCAGCCTGTCAATACTCAGGAATTGCTACGTAGTCGGCTGCAAATGAAGCTTTCCGCTCATGTTTCTGATTTCCTGATATCTCCTTTGTGAAATATGAAAAAAGGATTTTGTCTTCATGCTGAGAAGCAGAAGAAAGTTGATTTTTGAAGARGCAATATATTGTCATGTTTTGGATTTCTGCATTTGTCACAGATGTTCACAGACTGGCAGTATTTAAAAAGAAACCACAGCACACAAAATGTTTTGCATATTCTAAGTTAATAAGAACAGCATTTTATGACAAATTCTAAGTATGAAAGAATCACACATAATCACCATRATTTAAACCATAAATAAAGATAAAAACAACATCCTACAATTGTGTATCTAATTATCCTCAACATTTTGAGGGTGTTGTTCTACATCCTCTTGCTCTGCACATCTCCAGATTCCGTGGGGCAATGTYTTTTCTCCCTGCAGTTTGTACAGCMCCYCACATGACAAAGTGTAACAACYGGGTGATTTTTCTCAAAAGCTGCTTCTCTGGATATGTGYAGATTTGCAATATCAGAGAACCACAAAACCACAAAGGGATTTAGAGCTATTTTTACTTTTAGAGGAAAGTCACAGTTTAAAGTGTGATAAGGAAATTATATTCCTTTGCTTAAGGACAGGAGAGCTCTGTGTGCCCTCCAGGCTTTCTGAAATGCTGAATACCAGCGGTTTCCAATTATGTTGGCTGCTCTCTGGATGTTCTGTGGTACTGAAAACCACTTTTAAAAGGCTTAAACATTGATAAAGAAGACTAAATTTGCTTACCTATCCTGGCAATTTTTTTCGATACAGATGTCTAAATCCAGACTCCCAAAGGAGATGAGACAGTGTCTTCATCTGCCTGCAAGAATTTGCACTTTATATCCATTTTTTCTACCTCAGCATCCCCACCTGAAATCAAGGCTGGCAATGGATATGTTTATGACAAGGTAGGACTTGTTAATTAGCGACTGCAAAGCACATGGAACCACTGAGATGGAAAGTCCCCAGAAAAAAAATATTTATTATTAGTGCAGTTTTATTATTTCAGACTTTTCAGGCCTCTGAAGACTTTGTGAAGGCAACAGCTCTGCTGAGTGGGCTGGGCTGTATTTCTGGTTTGGTGATGCACATGAAAAGAACCATTCTGTGTATTTCAGAACCCCTTCTTTATACAAGAGATTCAACCAGCTTACTTATTTCAACAAAATATAAAAGAAAAAAAAATAGAATAAGAGATACCAAAGAAATAGAAGAGCAAGAAGCTTTAAACACAAAATAGGATTATTTTTGCACAAAGATGTCCTATTCAATTCAATTGA